TGGATTAGGTAAAGTTCCTCTTCCTGCGACGCACTTGAACTATTCGTGTCTGAAAAGGAATGATAACTTATACCGTGTATCAATTATCGAGGACTGAACTTCGTAAATGTGAAAAACATACCCTTCCTTGAATTGATGACCTTCATGATTAGTTGCAGGGTTGAAGGTACTTCAACAAGATTAATTTGAATTCTCACTACCATCAAATTGAGTTGGTCCTCGAAGATTAACATAAGACGGCGTCGCAAACCACGTATGACCGTATGGATACTATGAATTCATTGTGATGCCCTTTGGTCCGACTAACGCCCTTGTGACCTTCCAAAGATCAATAAATGAATTGTTTCGACAATGGTTGGACCCAGTCGTTGTTGTGTACCTCGATGGCATCCTCGTCTATAACAAGACCTTGGAGGACCACTAGAAACACCAGCGAATGGTTCTACAAAAACTAAGAGAAAAAAACCTCAAGTTAAATCATAAGAAATCAGAGTTTGTTAAACATGAGGTACTATATCTTGGATATATAAGAAATGAAGAAGGACTAACGCCTGGAAAAAAAAAAATGACAACAATTAGAGATTGGTCCAGACCCAAGACCGTTATTGAATTGCGATCCTTTCTATGACTTGTGAGCTACAATAGGAAGTTTGTGAGAAACTTTTTTATCATAGTTGCGCCTATGAGGATGTTGCTAAAAAAAGAAAAACCTTGGTTATGGGACAAAAACTGTGAGTCGGTGTTCAAGAAACTTAAGTATGCACTAACTAACTACCTTGTCTTAAAAAATATTGATCCTGCACTACCTTCCATTGTCACGACTGGTGCAAGTCGATATGAGACTGGGGCGGTGCTACAAAAAGATGATGAAAAATGATATAGACCAGTGAAATTTATGTCTAAGCACTTATCATCAGAGAAGGTGGTTAACTCCACGTATGAGAAAATTATATGGCTTAGTTCAAGCGGTGGACACTTTGAAACACTACTTGATTGGTAGACACTTCACTGTCTACTTAGATCACTCGACTTTGAAGTGGATTAAAACACAACCCCAGTTGTCTAACAACTTGATACGATGGTCTGCATTTATCGACACTTTTGACTTTGAGTTGAAAACCATAAAAGGTAAGTCTAATGTTGTTGCTGATACGTTGTCCAGATGATCTAATTTCTTTGGTCCTATCATTATCTACCTTTGTACTGGGACTGAGTTAAATGACAAAATCCACAATGGGTATGTTGGGGGGATGTCATGATGTGGACGGACACTTTGATTTCAAGAAGACGTTTGCTAAAGTATGACATTGTTAGTTTTTTGAGTGACATGGAATGAAAGAGGATGTACTAATCTATGTTAGAACTTATCTTATATGTTACATAAAGACAAGTTGTCTCACAAAAGTCATTAAGGACTGCTCAGACCACTGAGTCTCCCTATTTCAATTAATCAGGTGAGTTCATCTCAATTGACTTTATGAGTCTCACAAAGAGTCGGAATGAGAGCAGTCTGGTAATGGTTATTGTTGATAGGTTCTCTAAATATGCAATGTTCATTCCTTTACCCTCTGAAGTTAGGACGAAACTTGTCATCCAAATTTTTCAAATGTGTTGGGTTTCCGAATACGGATTTTCGAAAATCATCGTGTCTGATCAAGATGTACGGTCCACGGGTAAATAATGACAAAAGTCGATGAAAGTCTGTGGCACTAGGTTGACCATGTTGTCAGATTGACATCCTGACAACAGAAAAATGTGGGCATTTTTTTGGGGGGTTTATCCAATGTGTGCATCCCTTTTAAACAGTTGGTTTCGTGTTAATAAACAATTTGGCGGGGGTGGTGTCATGTGTTCCACCAAAAGTGAAGGAACTCAACGTTGATAACATATGTCATAAACATGCGACACTGTGTTCAACACTTGTTCAATTGTTGAAAAACTGTTGAAAAGTTGTTTACAAGTTGTTGAAATGTTGTTGAAAATGTGATGATCAACTGTTGAACATTGCAGATATTATTGGGAATATTAGAGAGAGAGAGAGAGAGAGAGAGAGAGAGAGAGAGAGAGAGAGAGAGAGAGAGAGAGAGAGAGAGAGACCTGTTACTATTGATCACCTTCATCTTAGTCTGTGTACCTCCCTGTCAATCTTGAATGCAGCGCCATGGGCAAATGTCCGATGGATGTGAACGAAATTGACTACCGGGTGTCAATTTCCAGCATCACTTCCATGCATGACAAGAACGTGGCACGCAGTAGTCAACCAGTCATGTAGTTCTCACCCAACATTAAGATGCACATGTTTTGTAGTGCTTTGTGACATCATATTCAATATTTTTGGAAGTGAGTATTGCGTTTTCTGCTTATTTTTGTCAAACACAATTCATGTTCTTGCAAAATCATACGTTGACATTTTCTGGCCCACGTTACACATGACGCATTGCGTATCCTTGCAAGAGAAACAACAATGTGTACACTGAATTGATAGTGCGTAATGTGAGATGCGAAGGGCAAATGCTATGTGATGGTCGAAACACATCCACGACAGGTCTTGTACAAGACCATTTGTTAAATAACACATGTTTGCTTATTGTACACTCAGCCCAAAGGGTTCTCCAGAGTCTTTTTTTTTTCAAATAATAGCTCTCTCTCTCTCTCTCTCTCTCTCTCTCTCTCTCTCTCTCTCTCTCTCTCCGCTTTGGTCCTCATTGGCTGTGTATCATGCCATTGAGCGTCAGTGGAGGTGCAACTCATTTCCCCTCCAACACCATCGCCCACCTCCCTCCCCACCCTGGCCTTGTTCCATCCCCAACCCCCCTCGATCCACTCCCGGACCCCTTCTTCTCCTTTTCACGGCCTTGCGCACAAACGTTCTTTGTCTCTCTCTCTGCCTGCACATTTGTCCACGGTGTGCGCAATGAACTCAAGGTCAAAATCATCATCTGTTGTTGTCATGTTATTGGCATCTCCTCTCTGCACAGCAGGCAACCCAGCTCTGTACAATGCGACAGCCTTGTCTGCAACAGAAACAGCACGGTCGAGCTTGAAGATAGAAAAGTTTAAGACCGTGTCTCGGGAGCGGACTGATGCAACGATCTCTTTCTTGATAGCTGCAAGTTTTTGTATTTGGTCCGCTGTTTTACTGGTCTTTGCCGTCTGCTCGACTTCACTTTTCAGTATCAGCTCCGCAAATGCAAGTTGCTGCAACGTTACGCCAAGGTTGATCGCATCTCTTCTCATTTGAAAAACTTTTGTCAGTGCTGTCTTGAAAGGAGGAGCGCCCCACGGATCATTGCCGCTCCTTCTCCATATTGTGTCCCCCTTCATCTCTGCCCGCATCCTGCTGCGGCATTATCTCCTATCAATTTGGCAGTTGTCTGCAGTGCCGTGAAAAAATTGTCCTCCAATGAGTACAGCGTCACATCCTTTGCTGCTGAAAAAGCAAAGGTCTTTGCCACTGAACGAAACAGTCTGTCTTTCATTTTCTTTGTAAAAACCCCGGTTTGTTGCTCTGTTCGTTCGCCAACATTACCTCCACATGTGCTGCTTCGCCTTTGGAAATTGGTGCAATCTGGAGAAAAAATAAAACGCAGACCAACAGATTAATGGTTTAGTGATAAGAAGACCCTCTGCGATATGTGTTTTATGTATTGCAATCAGAAACTGACATAAGACCGCCACTCCCCCTCCCCGATCCA